GGGTCTAGAAAGCTATTAACATAGCAGGGGATAAGAAAATCTTAATTAAACAGAACTTGCAATAAAGAAAGCCTAAATAGGGCTCTCTTTACAGGAAGTGTTTATGGAAGGCTGTACAAGTCACATGCAGGGAGGTGTGACTAGGGTTCATAAACAAAGGGATTTAACTCCTAAATGGCAGAGGATTGAGCAGTGAGGCTGCAGGGGCATGTTCTATACACCAACACTGCTTCATTAAGCTAAAGTTGTTCAGGTGACTATAGTGTCCCTTTCAAGTAAATATCCTGCTACCTAAACTCACATGTCAGTGACAGCTAAGCTTGGCAATCCAAATATTTGTAAACAGCATTGTTTACTTGTGAGATGCCAGAACAGCCATCATGGTCATATATTATTATTATTTTATTATTTATATAGCGCCATCACATTCCATAGCGCTGTACAATGGGTAGATATGTACATAGTAGATATTTCAATGTCCAAACCATTAAAGCAAATGTTTCAAAAAAAAGAAAAGTTCTGCAAATGTAACTAGAAAAGCTTCAATTTCTGGGGAAATTGTGTGAAGTGTTCTTGCCTCCACCAGTAGTCTACAACTGAAGTGGGCGGAGTAACTGTTATTATTTATTTATATAGCACATTTAATTGCAACGTTGTTGCCCAAAGTGCTTCACAGTTACATTAAAACATATATTTATAAACACATTAACAGGTGTACAAAAGGCCCTTTCTATGACATCACTTGCTGCTCCAGCCTGGCACAGGTCAGAGTATTTTGGCGGTTGCCATCTTCAAACGGTCGTATTAAAAAGTATACATCCTACAGTGAAGAGTTTTATTTTGTGAGAATCACAAGACCCAGACCTACATTTTGATGCATAGCATGTCTCTGAAGTATTAAAAATGAAGGCAGAGTCGCAGTTTAGAACTTGCCCTTCAAGTTTGAGCTGGCTAGAGTGGCGTTTCAATGAATGTCAATGGATGGCGTGAGTTGCAAACAAATGGTCATATTGTGAAAACTATCAGGACTATGGCTTAGCCGTGGACATGTTTAGTGGCAGCAGGGATAGCTGAACGTGTTGATATAAGATTTGTGTAGGTGGGCTTGAAAATGAGTAGTGGCAGTTTAGAAATCATGTCCTGATTTTTCAGCTTTTGCCAGCTCCCACTCTAGTTTTGAACATTTTGCCATTCATTCCTATAGGACCAATTTCGCCACAAGAATATTCCGTGAACCATTCGGCGAAACGTTCCACAAAGTAATAGCACACAAATCGGGAACAATCCACACGTTTTTGTATGTTACTGTCTATGTAGTGTAAAAACTGTGGGAGGAGTTAGGGTGGTAAATTTGGATATAATAAGGATAATAATATATATGAGAACATTAAGTGGTCTTGCTATGCAAGAACACTTAATAATAATAATAATATATATGTGAGATAACATTAAGTGGTCTTGCTATGCAAGAACACTTAATTATTAATAAATGATACATGTTTAAACTATTACAAAATCTCTTATTTACTGTCTAATAGAGTGCAGCAAGTTATTTTTTTTTATGACATGCAGGAGTGTGCACAGTTATACGGTACTAAGAGTTATAGTTACAGTCTACCTCATGCGTAATTTGAGGAAAAATATATCACAAAGCTTAGACCTTTAGCAGGCTAGTAAGACATATTCCTCAAATTACGCATGAGGTAGACTGTAACTATAACTCTAAGTACCGTATAACTGTGCACCAGGGGTCAAGTCCTGGGGAAAAAAGTGTGGGAACTCTCCCCAAAAAACCCCAAAACACTTGTATGTATATCTATGTATGTATGTATATATATATATATATATATATATATATATATATATATATATATATATACACACACACACATACACACGCGTGCACACACACATACACTCACACAGTGGTGTATTTTAATTTTATGCTGCCCTAGACATGACTATAGAGCACCCCCCTAATCTAAATTTACCACTCCTTCATGTCAAGGGCGCACCGCTTCTTGATTAAGAACCCACCCCTTCCTCTTTAGACTCCACCTTTTCCCTCTCCTTTTAAAGAAATACTATAGTGCCAGGAAAACAAAGTTGTTTTCCTGGCACTATAATTCCGTATAGTGCCCCCCTCCTCTCATGTCCTCCCCTCCCCCACTCGACACTGGAGGGGTTAAAATCCTATGGGTATTTAGCAGATGTTGGATGTTGGATGTCCTCATGCACAGGGTGAGGACGTCCAGCATCAGTTAGGTGACTTTGGTCACCTAACCACCCGAAAGTCCCTCTAGTGGCTGTCTGATAGACAGCCACTAGACTTGCAGTTACCCCTCAGGTAATTATTGCAGTTTCTGAGAAGGTTTAAGGGGACTGGGACACTGCACCCAGACCACTTCAAGGAGCTGAAGTAGTCTGGGTGCCTATAGTGTCCCTTTAAGCACACTCTCTGACAGACACCCACACTGGCAGATACACACTGACAGTAACACACACATTCAATGACAAACACACAGACTTCACTGATTTGACACACACATTCACTCACACACACTCATTCATTGACAGAGAGACACACACTAATAGTCACACACACACTAAATGACAGACTCTCACTTATTTGACAGAAACTTACAATAACGTATGCACATACATGCAATTGCAAACATACACATGCATACACTAACAGAAGCACATACACTCACATACACACGTACAAACGCTAACAGACATAAATACACTCCTACACACACTGAGACAAACAGACATCCACAGACAGACATCCACAGACAGACATCCACAGACAGACATCCACAGACAGACATCCACAGACAGACATCCACACGTCCACAAACAGACATCCACAAACAGACATCCACAAACAGACATCCACATCCACAGACATCCACATCCACAGACATCCACATCCACAGACATCCACACATCCACAAACAGACATCCACAAACAGACATCCACACATCCACAGACATCCACACATCCACAAACAGACATCCACAAACAGACATCCACACATCCACAAAGAGACATCCACACATCCACAAACAGACATCCACACATCCACAGACATCCACAAACAGACATCCACAAACAGACATCCACACATCCACAACAGACATCCACATCCAACAAACAGACATCCACACATCCACAAACAGACATCCACACATCCACAAACAGACATCCACAAACAGGACACACATCCACAAACAGACATCCACAAACAGACATCCACACATCCACAAACAGACATCCACACATCCACAAACAGACATCCACATCCACTCATCCACAGACATCCACACATCCACAAACCCACAAACAGACATCCACACATCCACAAACCCACAAACAGACATCCACACAAACAGACAGACATCCACACATCCCACAGACATCCCACAACACAAACAGACATCACATCCACAAACAGACATCCCACAAACAGACATCACACATCCACAAACAGACATCCACAGACAGACACATCCACACATAACAGACATCCACAAACAGACATCCACACATCCACAAACAGACATCCACAAACAGACATCCACAGACATCCACAGACATCCACACATCCACAAACAGACATCCACACATCCACAAACAGACATCCACAAACAGACATCCACACATCCACAGACATCCACACATCCACAAACAGATATCCACAAACACAAACATCCACACATCCACAAACAGACATCCACAAACAGACATCCACACATCCACAAACAGACATCCACAAACAGACATCCACACATATACAAACAGACATCCACACATCCACAAACAGACATCCACACATCCACAAACAGACATCCACACATCCACACATCCACAGACATCCACACATCCACAAAACAGACATCCACACATCCACAAACAGACATCCACACACAGACATCCACAAACAGACATCCACACATCCACAAACAGACATCCACAAACAGACATCCACACATATACAAACAGACATCCACAAACAGACATCCACACATCCACAAACAGACATCCACACATCCACAAACAGACATCCACAAACAGACATCCACAAACAGACATCCACACATATACAAACAGACATCCACACATCCACACACAGACATACATATATACAAATGAATATTATTAACTAATTAACATATCCCACCCACCCAGCATCCCTACCTTTCCCTGGGGTCCAGTGGGGCTGCAGTGAAAAAAGTGCAGGAACGCCGTTCCCACGCGTTCCTGCAGGACTCGAGCCCTGGTTATCTCCTTCTCTACCACAGCCCCTCTGTTTTGCTCGTTTTCCCCCTAGTTCGTTTTGTGTTTCCCTCCCCTCCAGATCCCTTTGTCTGTCTTTCCTCCCAAGCAACAGGCACACAAGCATTGTGTCAAAGTCAAACAGGTACACTGTCATACAAACACAGAAATAATCATACAGAGACATACAGACACAGAGACATACAGTCAGAGGCATACAGACACACAGGCAGAAACATAGAGACACACAGACATACAAACACAGTCACGTAGAGACATACAGGCAGAGACATACACACATACATACAGACACACATGCATACAGAGACATGCAGGCATACAGAGACATACATACATACAGAGACATACATGCAGGGCCAGCGTGTCCTATAGGCCGATCTGGCGGCCGTCTAGGGCGCTCCTTTACTGCTGGTTTGGGCCGCCCCCCTCTATGTGGGACACATTCTGTATTGCGTGCCAGAGCTAGCGCTCGGTGCCATCAGCCTCAGCACACAAAGAGCACTGAGAGCCGCTCCCCCTACATACCTCATATCCCGGCAGCGCACGGGCACATCACACGATCGCTCCCACCCCT